GCACTGTGTCAAGGGCCTACTCACTCACCCAGCCACCCACTCACCCACCAGGGCCGTATTATCCATTAGGCCACAGTAGGCACTGTGTCAAGGGCCTACTCACTCACCCAGCCACCCACTCACCCACCCACCAGGGCCGTGTTATCCAATAGGCCACAGTAGGCACTGTGTCAAGGGCCTACTCACTCACCCAGCCACCCACTCACCCACCCACCAGGGCTGTATTATCCAATAGGTCACAGTAGGCACTGTGTCAAGGGCCTAATCACTCACCCAGCCACCCACCCACTCACCCACCCACCAGGGCCGTATTATTCAATAGGTCACAGTAGGCACTGTGTCAAGAGCCTACTCATTCACCCATCCACCCACTCACTCACTCACCCACCAGGGCGTATTATCCAATAGGCCACAGCAGGCACTGTGTCAAGGGCCTACTCACTCACCCACCCACTCACTCACCCACCAGGGCCGTGTTATCCAATAGGCCACATTAGGCACGGTTTTTAGGGCCTACGAAAACTAAAAGGGCCTACAACTAAATTTGCGTTCTTTTCATTTGTATGTATGTTAAAACATTTGAGTAACCAAGATATATTCTTGAATCAATATATTTATTTAGCAAGGATAGGCGCAGTACAGGGTGCTTACATTTTTTTTTACTTCTGAGAATTTGCAACAATACCACAAGAAATGTGCCTCCGGGCTCTGGAGACCACCTGGAGAAAATTCCAGGCATGTGTTGACAAAATGGTGAACAAGTGGAGACTCTTTGACTTTTTGAAGCTATGTGTTGACAAAATGGTGAACAAGTGGAGACTCTTTGACTTTTTGAAGCTATGTGTTGACAAAATGGTGAACAAGTGGAGACTCTGACTTTTTGAGGCTATTAAGGTACATTAGTTAACATGTTACAGTGTATAATCCGTTCTTTTTCCATTAAAAATCATAGTATCATATAAGTGTTAGCATTTTTTTCAAGCACCCTCTATATATAAAGAGGTACAGTCATGTCAATCGTTTTTGTTTTCATAAGGTGAGATCAATTAACACCGGAGATGAACTTTTCCAGATTGTTTTAATTGCAAAATTTGCAATAACATCTTCAAGTGGTGTTTTTTCAAATAAAATCTGCTAATCTGCGGCACACAGCGCGCTTCCGTCGAATTAGGGCAGAGACTAAATAGTGAACGTATCAGCAGCAACAACATCTGTCCTTTAGCTGGACGAAGTACGCTTGAAACAAGCGGAGTGACGGCAGAGGTAGTGACATGGGGCAGAAGTAACAACTGTAGAAAGTTATCACTGAAGGCCTATGAAACAGAGGTGCCTAGGGCCTACAAGAACCTGAATCCGGCCCTGGGCAGAGGCTCATCGGCCTTTTCGTTGATACTCTGGTGGGGAGTTCCTGGAGTACATGGGCTATCTTGTTTTTGATCTGCGAAGCCGACTCCGTGGATCAGATGTTCAGTCCAGCTTCCCCTTCCAGACGAAGTTAGACCACCCTGCTTTTTTTATTGGGTGCAATTGTGAACAATAGCCATATCAGACATTGGTACATCTAAGCAGCATAATCATTGGTTCACTGCAGCTCAAAGACTCGGTCCCTACAAGGAGTGTGGTGAAGATGCCCATGTGCTCGGCATTTGAAGGCCTGAAGACCAGAATCTGTGATTTCGCTGACAATGTGTATCAGGGAGTCTGGAAGTTCTGTGGGGCAGTGATTGAAAGTGCATTTTGCACAGGACTCTTGACAGCAGCGACTTGCAGGCTGGAGATGGTGAGGTGTGTGCTGGCGATGGCTTCATCAACACCGATTATTTTCAGCCCATTCTTCTGGATTTTGTCGAGAAGGTTGAGATGAGTTGGTGGGGCGTTCATCCAGCACGGGAAGTTGTGTTTAACCGAGAGCAGCGACGTCAACGTTGCGGCTCTGCTAACTCTCCGGACACGATGGTCGTTCTTCGCTCTGGGAAATCGTTCTCAATGTTGTCCACGAGTGGTCTCCCATTCCAGGTGGCTAAATGTTTCTTTTTTTTCCTTCCGTCCATTTAGTTGTTTACTTTTTCTTCGACAGCAAGTATGGTGACCCCACTTGGTGCGGTTTCCCAGCCTGTGTTGAGGGTACCTTTTCTAGCCCCTTCCCCCATTTGCGGGTGAGCAAGAGGGCATCCTACAGAGGACCGTTCAGCCACGGATGGATGTTGCTACTGCAAGACGCCTAGATTCCTGGAGGTCTCCATTCCTGTGGAGGCGTCCAACGACTGCCATGCACGCATCCGCCACCTACGTGCGGAGTCTTGTCCCGAGGGCTTCCAAGTCCTGTAGCCCTTGGCCACCACCCCCCTTCGCCGAATCGTTCCATCCCCGTGGGACTTTCCCCCCTAATCCGACAAATGCCCTGTACGTGGAGTTGATTTACGTGGGGACTTTGGTGCATGTGCAGGGTGGGATCCAATGTGATCTTGACGAGTCGGGGGCTGGGTTCCGGTGTTAAAATTTGGCTGCTGTACATTTCCACATTATAAGCCACTTCGTTGAGCTATCATTTGTGGCCAAGTGGCTTCTGAAAAAGAGCTACGTAGCTCAATGGGCCTTACCTGGTAACAATAAAAAAGTGCTTAATAGTTATTTTGTACGGCTGATATAGATGGCAGAGCAACAACTCCAATTTCACATTCAGATGGTCAAGGCAGATTACTGCATCAGTAGCGGAGTAATGTATCATCATCGTCACTGTGATGTCTCCTTCGTATTTGCGGATCGGGCATTGTGTTGTTACATGTTGTATGGAGTTTATAGTTTTAAAAACTTGAATAGACCTTGCCGCCATGCTGGGTGACCCTACCAGGAGCACGAGGCTCCCCAACGGCATTGCTCTCGGGATCATTGGGAACGCGCAAAAAACGTATCTGTAAAATACGTTTTTGTTGGGTTAGATCGCGTGAATATGAATGTGTCGTTAAACCCGCCACGACTACCCAACACTGCCAATCAGTAAGGGGTTTATCACGTAAACAAAACGTGGCCAATTCGTTACTAATTCAGCACTAGCCGGTTGTGTGTTGGAGAGTAAACCCACAACATCTACAATTAGAGTTACCGTGACGGTTTGCCGGTAATTACAACAACAGAAACAAGCATCATCAGGCGACGACAGGCAGAGAGAGTTGTGGAGAAATCCTTCGGTCTTAGAGCAGGAATGGTAAATGTGATGTCGTCACTTGTTAGCCAATCAGGTGCGAGGACCAGAGGTGGGGGAGGGGGGGTTAATGTATTCATATAAATTACAATGGATATATATTATTGGTTTGGCTATTCACAGTTAATCAACTTAATAGGTAGCGATCCTCAGAGGGGTAGGCGGGGGGCGGGGTCGCAAGTGCACCAGCCGCCTTTCAGAATATTTATTTGCACTTGAGGAATCTGATGAGCCATAAAGCTCTTTTTCACAGATGTCTAGTAGGGGCACAGGGTCAGAACATTACAACAAACAATACAGAAACACGACAGGAGGGCAAAGTATAGTAAAGGTATACACATCGCTTAAACATATATATATAAATACAACTAAACAATTTTTACCAATAGCGAACATGGTGCGAGAGGGTGAATCGCAGTGCGATTGTTATATTCACCTCGCGTCTTGAGTGAGTTTCACCGCCACCTATGATGCTCAACGCAGAACAGCAGCAGTGGCAGCAGCAGCGACCGCGCTGAACGACACGATGGGCCACACGACGATGAAGACGAGGAGGCGGAGGAGGTAGCGGTGGCTGCCAACACTTCAGAGCCACTGGGACTCAGTGCGAGAACCGCCAGGTTCGAGAGACAAAGAAAACTGAACCACACATTTCCATAACCGCTTTATGTGGGACACAAACATGTGGTGGTAGTAGTAGATGCGTTACAAAAATGGGGCACGCAAAGCGAAACTGCACGAGCTGCCTAGCTTCTTGCTGTCCCTCCTCCACCCCGCGCCCAATCTCGCTTTCACTCCTTCTCTTTGCTTGCCCCCTTACACTGGAATAAATTCCCTCTCTACAAATCCGACTCTCCCCGTCGTTTTCCTCTTTTCTCTCACCTTTTCCCTTCCTCTTCCGCCACCCCTACCAGCACCACCTAACCCCCTTAACCCCTCCCCAGCCGCAGCCTTCACCTCGATTCCTCCACTCTCGTCACTAACCATTCCCACCCCTTATTTTGCTATTTTGTGCTGTAGTTGGTAAGCATTGTCAAGCGCCTTGGTGAAAGGCGCTTTATGAATCCTAAAAACAATAGAATAGCCACTTGTTGAGTCACGCCCACAGTATAGAATATTGTAACTCTGTGTGTTCGTATGCATGTTGAACTTCTTTCGCACTGTACGTAGCCAAACGTGGCTCATCAGAGGTGCGGTAGGTGCATCTCTGTGTGTAAGCATGTCTCACAAAGCCTTGAAAGATTTGGACACATTCCAGTCAGTGAGTCCCTCCAGTAGGCGAGGCTGTGTTGGCTGGGTCACGTAGCCCGCATGCCCAAGCAGCAGCTTCTGTTTGGCTGGATAAAAGGGGCTAGCTAAACGGGCACGACATGGGCTGGAGAATAGATGGAGGTGATGAGTGAGTGAGTGGGTGAGTGAGTGGTTGAGTGGCAAAAGCTGGAGAAGAGATGGAGCTGATGGATGAGTGAGTGGGTGAGTGAGTGGTTGAGTGGCAAGGGCTGACGAAGAGATGGAGCTGATGCGGCAGGGGAGGAAGTGGAGCTGAGTGGACTTGCCGATGACAGGTACCAGCAGTGTCAAGATCGGCCGCTATAGAGGAGGCTCATGAAGGACGGTCGATTCATTCACAACTTCCAACGGATGCAGCATTCTCACGACACTACTTTCCGACATTGCCCCCCGTGTTCCGGAAAAGAGACCTGATGAGGTAAAACCATGCAGAGAGCCGAACCACGCGTTCTGGTTCGGCTCATGTACAGGAAGGTTATTCCTGTACATACATTTACACGTATAAATGTGACTTTTTTTCAGTTTATTTGTTATATCCCTAATACAACATCACACTACGGCTACTATATATACGACGGGCGAGCGTATTTAGCCAAAACGAAAAAAAAACATCGCTCGAAGCCAAATGGGGGAGGAAAAAGGGGAAGTAAAACAAAAGGAGGAAAAAAAAACCGCTTCGATTCAAGATTTCCACTCGGCAGCGTGCGTCCTAGAATGTCGCTTCAAGTGGCCGCTCTGCGAGAAGCCCTTGCCGCACTCGGCGCACACGTGCGGCTTCTCGCCCGTGTGCGTCCGCGCGTGCTTCTCCAAAGAAAAGCGGTGCTCGAAGCCCTTGCCGCACTCGCCGCACACGTGCGGCCACTCGCCTGCGTGCGACGCCGAGTGCGCTTCCAGGTGGGAGCGCCGGGCGAAGCCCCGGCCGCACTCGGCGCACGCGTGCGGCCTCTCGCCCGTGTGCGTCCTCGCGTGCACCTCCAGGTCGGAGCGGTGCGCGAAGCCCTTGCCGCACTCGCCGCACGCGTGCGGCCACTCGCCCGTGTGCGATATGGAGTGCACCTCCAGGTGGGAGCGCCGCGCGAAGCGCTTGCCGCACTCGGCGCACGCGTGCGGCTTCTCGCCCGTGTGCGTCCTCCTGTGCCTCTCCAGGTCGGAGCGGTGCGCGAACGCCTTGCCGCACTCGGCGCAGGCGTGCGGCCGCTCGCCAGTGTGAGTCTTGGCGTGCTTCTCCAGGTTGTAGCGCTGCGCGAAGCCCTTTCCGCACTCCGCGCAGACGTGCGGCCACTCGCCCGTGTGCGACACGGCGTGCGCCTCCAGGCTGGAGCGGTGCGCGAATCCCCTGCCGCACTCCTTGCACGCGTGTGGCTTCTCGCCCGTGTGTGTCCTGAAGTGGACCTTCAAGTCGTAGAAGCGCGTGAACCCCTTGCCGCACTCCTCGCACGCGTGCGGCTTCTCGCCGGTGTGCGACACCGAGTGTGCCTCCAGGTGGTAGCGCTGCGCAAACGCCTTGCCGCACTCGGCGCACACGTGGGGACGCTCGCCCGTGTGCGTCCTCGTGTGCGTCTCCAGGCTGGAGCGCGTCGCGAAGCCCTTGCCGCACTCCGTGCACGCGTGCGGCCACTCGCCCGTGTGTATTCGGAAATGCGCGTTCAAAGTGGACCGCGTCGCAAAGCCCTTCCCGCACTCCTTGCACGCGAGCTTCCTCTCATCGGCGGTGACCGCCACCGTGCACGGCGCGGCGCCTTCCATCGGCTTCCCGCACCGCTTGCAGGTTCCCTGTGTCTTGCCGATGCTGCTGCTGCTGCGTTGCGCTTTGTCTGTCTTCATTATTTCGAAGCCTCTACCCTTCCCGCACTCGTCGCACAGGAGTTCTGTTTCTCCCGCTTCATCTGCTGCACGTTTAAAAAAAATTATATCAAATGCACACTTTGGTTAAACTGACGCAAAGTAAATATGGTGATGAGAAGCCAGAAATGGTTCCAGTGACATTTGAGGTTTGCATTAAAGAAATGGTTTGCTTGTAAGAATTTTCTTCATTGCAAAATGTGTCCACCTTGCACCCTTCCACTGGAATCAACGTCCCCTGTATATGAGCAGCACTTCCCCAATAGACTCAGCACTGCACCATAGACTTAACACTGCCCGTAGACTCAACACCGTCAGTAGACTCAACACTGTAAGTAGATTCAACACTGCCCGTAGACTCAACACCGTCAGTAGACTCAACACTGTCAGTAGACTCAACACTGCCCGTAGACTCAACACTACCCATAGACTCAACACTTCCCATAGACTCAACACTGCCCATAGACTTAACACTGTTCGTAGACTCAACACTGCCCGTAGACTCAACACCGCCCGTCGACTCAACACCACCCGTAGACTCAACATCACCCGTAGACTCAACACTCCCCATAGACTCAACACTGCCCGTAGACTCAACATCGCCCATAAACTCAACACTGCCTATTGACTCAACATTACCCATCTAAATGAAGCAGTCCCCTTCCTTAACCTCCTTCCGTTCCTCTCTCAAAGCCTCACCTCTTCTCCATCATCCCCCATCGCCTTCCTCTTCCCTCCCCCGTAGCCCCTTTCATGACCCCCCGTGCCCTCTGTTATGGTCACTCATTCCTTGGCCCTTGCACTTCCTCTGCCATCTAAACCACTCTGTAAAGCGCTTTCTAAGAATATGAAAAAAACATAAGAAAGTTTATGATAGAGTACGACTCAGTGTTAATGTTATTCTCATGTATCATCGTTACAAATAATGTTACCACTTTTAAACTATGTTATAGAGCAACTTGAGCTAAGCCGCTTTTATAAATATAAAATAACCTCTACCTATTTTATTTTAGCAGGTAAGGCCTCAATGAGGTATATAGCTCTGTTTCAGAAGCGACCTATTACAAATGAAAGCTCTAGGATGTGGCTTATCATGTGGTTGGGATCGAACCCACGAACTCCTGTATACCAGGCGAGGTGCTTAAAATCTCCTAGCCACCGTGGCACCCCCCAAATAAGATAAGACGTGACCAAAGGGTGACGGCTCACCTGCGTCCTCCTCTGACAACTCCACCTCGATGAAGTTCTGGCCCGGCGCGGCCAGATACCCGCAGGACTCCGCTGCCTCGTGCTCTGCCACCTCGCCAGCTCCTTCGCCTTCAGCGTTGTTCACATCCGGAGCTGTGATTTCGAAAAATGCACACAAACGTTCTCGGACGGGTGGAAGGATTGGAGGGTCTAAAAGAAACACAACTACTATACCACCGTCTATCTGGTTGTCAGACGAATTGAGGATGGGTGGAATCCAGCTTGCAGATTGCGACTCCACATCTGGATTGTGGGACTGGCTGCCTGCCTGCAGGAGTTGAGTCCATGGGGTTTGTACATACGTGTGTATGTTCAACTATAAACTAGGTTTTCTTTTTTTTCTTCCATTTTCCAGGTAAAGCCCACTGAGCTATGTAACTCTTTTTCAGAAGTGACCTGGCTACCGCAAATGATAGCTCCACGAAGTGGGCTGATCATCATCACGTGGAAATGTATAGTAGCAGCCAAATACTCTAAACACGTGATGACTAGTACTAGGCATACCCCATACCTAATCAACGAGTGACAAGTAACTAAGCCTAGGCCATACCTAATCAACTAGTGACTAGTGTTAGCCCTACCCCATCCTTAATCATCTCGTAACGAGGTGTACCCCATCCCTAATTGACTAGCAACTAAGCCTATCCCATACCTCATCAATTATTGACTAGGACTAGGCCTGGATCATGGCCTTGTAGAGGCATCGAAGAAGTTTTTGTTTTATTTTCCGTGCCAATGCCTGTCTAACTTCCAAAAATCATTACCATTAAAAAAGAACGTTTATTTTAACAGGCTACCACAAATGATAGCTCAACGAAGTGGGCTTATCATCATCATCACGTGGAAATGTATAGCAGCAACCAAATGCTGTAAACGCACATTTCTAAATGTGGAGGGAAGAACCGGAGGATGCGGAGAAAAATCCATGCCACCACGGGGAGAGAGAGGGAGAGACACGCAAACTCCGAATATACAGCAGGCGTCAGGGTCGGGGATCGAACCCACGATCTCCTGTATATCAGGCAAGGTAGTTAACATCTCCTAAGCCACCGTGAACTGCTTTCGCATAATAAGTATCCAACCTTTCTAATCGGAAGTGCGGGGCAAGGGGGGGGGGCCTTACCATTTTCCTCCACTTCGGTTTTTACCATTACGGCCAACTTGTCGCCGCTCCCCGGGCTCCCGCGAGGTCCTTGCTTGGCAACTGCGCCCGACACACGTTCGTACGTTCACAGACAAAAAACGCCGACATCTCTCTCGCATGTGGCAAGTCTGCGCCCAAATCACACGTCCAAGGAGTTTAAGTCTGTGAGCCACGCGATAGTTTCAGGAGCTGCAGTCACATTACCTGTCACCCCATACGGTTTATCCATATTTTTGTACAGGAAAATTTCGTTTTCAGGTCGATACGGCGCAGAGTCGTTTAAATACGGGCAAACTTTTTTTTCTCTATTTGTTTGTATTTCCCCCCTTGTGATGGGACTTTGTAGAATGAACGTTGAGATTTATAAGGGCACGGTATGACCAATAAGGTCTGAATTTGTCTGTGATAAGGAAGGGCAACTGATAAGGGGTTGACAGGAATGCAGTCACACTGTGTGGAGTTGTCTTTGATTCTCCACTTGTGGAAGAGGCGTGGTGCAGCAGCGACCAGCCGCTGCTCTGAAGCGGTTGATGGAGCACCGTAGTGTTTGTCGGCAGATCAAAGCCGTGCGGACATGTAGCAAACGATTCTAGATTTGAAGCTTTCGTGACTGCAAGGATTCATACTCTTTGGTTTTTTCGGTAAAGTCACGGAGATAAAACACAACTTCAACCGAGAGGATGGTTTTAAATTAAGCAACCACTGGAAAGATGTCATAAACCAAGTCAAAACTTCAGCTACCTTATAAGCGCACAGCCTTTTTTTACCATTTTTCATTGCCCCCGTGCAGTGAACCACCGCTTCCCCCGAACCCTCAACATAACAAAAGATGGATTAACTTGGCCTCGTCGTCGTTCCCTGCTTGGCTCCTCCCCCCCACCTTAACCTGTATATAAGCTCGAGGGTCTCAGAGCTCACCACTTGATGCAGCTACCTTGCTGTGACTGTTCCACCTGAAGACGGAAGCTTGTGTTGCCTCCGAAACGTTGTGATTTGATTTAGTTGTTTTCTTTTATTTTGATTTTGTTTTATCTACGTGACTTTACCGAAAAAACCAAAGAGTATGTAGCAAACGAGTTGCGTCTTTGCGAATCTGCCCGAGATAAAAACCGAAACCCTAGTACGGAATTCCCTCCTTGTTCGTGACGACGAAGGAATAAGTTCCGGAGATTGTTCGTAAAGAGCAAATTTCGCGCACAATGTTAGTGTCTGACGAAAACCCTGATTGTACGTAAATAAGCGATTCAACACCTGAACATTATCGTGACACAAAAACTTATAAAATTGGTTATAATAAACATAAAGTAAATAAAATAATGAATATTAAAGTATTAAATAATAGCACCTCCGATTAGCATAGTTGACTACATATGGTGCGAAAGAATTTCAACATACATATAAATTAACTTACCTTATCTCATCACATTAGCTCATCATTTTATCTCTCGTTACTTTATCATCCCTTTATCTCTCATCGCTATATCTCTCACCACTTTATCTCTCATCAATTTATCTATCGTAACTTTGTCTCTCATCACTTTATCTTGTACAAATGTAGAACTTATTTTGCACTGTATGCAGCCAACTGTGCTCATCGGAGGTGCATCAAACCCAATAATTGAATAGCTGACGTTCATGTGTTTTGTTTAAAGAAGCAGAAACATTTAGTAAACTACTTTTGATTTCACCAAGTGAGGCCCACTGAGCTATGTAGCTCTTTTTCATAAGTGACCTGGCCATCATAAATGATAGATCAACGAAGTGGCTTATCATGTGAAAATGTATAGCAGTCAAATACTCTAAACTTGTGATTTTAATTCTTAATCTAGAGGGGGAACCCGGAGGACCCGGAGACAAATCCATTAGACCACGGGGAGAGAGAGAGAATACGCAAACTGGAAATATACAGCAGGCATCAGGGTTGGGATCGAACCCACGATCTCCTATATACCAGGAGACGGAGTTAACATCTCTTACCCGCTGTGGCGCGATGCACGGGTGGTCGCCTATCCAAGCATTTATACAAAGTCAACTCTACTTAGCTTCCATGATGTGGACAAGAATCGGGGTGACATTGACCACAGAATCAGAATCTTGTATTTATACTGCAGGAGGAATCCAATGAGCGATAAAGCTCTTTTTCACAGATGTCCAGTAGGGCCACAGGATCAGAACGTTACAAATATACAGCAGGCGTCAGGGTCGGGATCGAGCCCACGACCTCCTGTATACCAGGCGAGGTAGTTAACATCTCCGAACCACTGCGGTGGCCCTGACATCAGAATCAGAATATTTATTCATGCTGGATGAAACTGATGAACAATGAAGCTCTTTATAATTTACATTTTTAATAGATGTCCAATAGAGGCACAGAGGTCAGAATGTTACAACAACAAACACACAAACAGAATACGCAAAAAAAAACCACGATTGAAGTGCAGAGTACTGCCAAGGTGAGCAAATCAGTCCAAGGTAGACTTCCATCTCAAACCTCACCGGCATCGGCACCTTCACACTTCATCGTCGGGTCGGGGCCCAACGCTGGGTTTGGATTCTCTTCATTTTCTTGTTTGATGAACGGCGATGTCGCATTTGTGTCCATCTACCTGAGGAGCGCGCAAAGAAACACGCGCAAGTTGATATCGCGCCGAGTAAAGCCCCCCACAGCTCAGCTCTTCGTGAAGGGAGGGATGGGGGGTGACCCAAAATCAAAGCATTCCACGATTACAGATTAATTGAAAAAAAAACCACAGTAAGGTCTCAAGAGTACGCGGGCTCAGAGTACGCGGACCGCTCATACGTGACTGACCCCCCATTAATACATACACTTGTGACTCGTACTTTCGCTACACACACGGGGTGGGAAAAGAGTAAAATCACCGCCCTGCCATCACGAGAACGTGTATTTGAGCGCATGTTACTGTATCGCTCGTGCAAGAAACGAGTCTACCCAGCTAGCATCTTTCGTATTTATCATATACAGATGATCCGACACTTGAGGCACCGACCAGATAGACGTGGAAGGCCCAAACGAATAGTGTGGGTTTTCTGGTAACGTCTGCCGGAAGACCCAGTGCAGAAACATTTCAACTGCCACCTCCGGGAGAACTTCTCCTGCACTCCAAATGAGGTCGTGGACATTGAGTCCAAGTGGACGATGTTCAGGACCTCGCTTGTCGATGCAGCTGCGAAAAGCTGTGGCCTGAAGGCAGTTGGTGCCTGTCATGGCGGCTAGCCTAGGACCGGCTGGTGGCCACCAGTGGTGAGGGAAGCTGTCAAGTTGAAGAAGGAGGCTTTCCGAGCTGTGCTCGAAAAAAGGTCTTCTGACTCGATTGAGAGGTACCGGCTTGCCAAGAGGGCGGCAGCGGTAGCAGTCGCTGAAGCGAAAGCCTGGCTGTGGGAGGAGTTTGGAGAGGCGATGGAGAGGGACTATCAGGCAGCCTCAAAGATTTTCTGGCAAACCATCCGACACCTTAGGAGGGGTCGACGGGTCGTGGCCCAGGCTGTTCTCAGTAAAGGTGGCGTAATATTGAACTCAACGTAGGAGATAGTCGAGAGGTGGAAGGAACACTTTGAGGAGCTTCTCAACCCTGTGGACATGCCCTCCTCTTAGGAGGCAGCCCTGGAAATAGCTGGGGGGGGGGGGGTCGGATCCATTACGGCTGCTGAAGTCGCTGCGGCGGTCGAGGGCTTCTGTAGTGGCAATGCTGCTAGGGTGGACGAGATTCGCCCAGAGTTGTTGAAAGCGCTGGACAGTGTAGGAGTGTCGTGGTTCACACGCCTCTTCAATGTTGCATGGAAGGTGGGTACAGTACCTCTGGATTGGCAAACTGGGGTCATGGTCCCCATTTATAAGAAAGGGAACCCGAGGTTGTGCTCCAACTACAGAGGGATCACACTCCTCAGCATCCCAGGTCAATCCTATGCCAGAGTGCTGGAGAGGAGGCTACACCCGGTTGTCGAGCCTCAGATTCAGGAGGAACAATGCGGATTCGGTCATAGTCGTGGAACAATGGACCAGCTCTTTTCCATCTCACGGATATTTGAGGGGTCATGGGAATTTACTTCTCCAGTCTACCTCTGCTTTGTAGACTTGGAGAAGGCATATGACCATGTTCCCCGCAATGTCTTGTGGGAGGTGCTGCGGAAGTATGACGTACCGGTGCCGCTTTCGCATGCTACCCGGTCCCTCTATTCCAGAAGTGGGAGCTGTGTCTGTATTCTTGGGGTTAAATCAAAGTCGTTCACTGTGGGTGTTGGACTCCACCAAGGGTGCGTCTTGTCTCCATTGCTAGTGTGATTGTCATGGACAGGATATCAAGGCGCAGCCGAGGTATCGAGAGTATCCAGTAGGGGGGCATGGAGGTGGCGTCGCTGCTTTTTGCAGATAATGTAATCTTTTCCTCATCAATCTGTGATCTCCAGCGTGCACTTGAACGGTTTGATGCCGATTGTGAAGCGGCTGGGATGAGGATCAGCACTTCCAAAGCTGAGGTCATGGTTCACTCCTGGGAGATTGTGGATTGTGCTCTCCAGGTGAGGGGGGAAAAGCTGCCCTTAGTAGAGGAGTTTAAGTACCTTGGGGTCTTTTTCACGGGTGATGTTAAGTGGGAGTGGGAGATCAGCCGGCAGATCGGTGTGGTGTCCGCAGTGTTGTGGGCGCTGTACTATTCCATGGTAGTGAAGCGGGAGCTCAACTTCGAACAAAGCTCCCGGTTTACAGGTCGATCTATGTTCCCACCCTCACCTATGGTCATGAGCTTTGGGTAATGACTAAAAGGATGACATTGCGGGTACAAGTGGCCGAAATGAAGTTTCTCGGCAGGGTTGCCGAGCTCACTCTCCGTGATTGGGTGAGGAGCTCGGTAATCTGGGAGGTCCGCAGAGTCGAGCCGCTGCTCTTCTGGATCGAGATGAGCCAGTTGAGGTGGTTCTGGCACCTGGTAAGGATGCCCCCCGGTAGACTCTCCCTGGAACTCTATCAGGCACATCTCACTGGGTGAAGACCCCGGGGCCGGCCCAGGACACGCTAGCAGGACTATGTCGCTCGGCTGGCCTGGGAACTCCTGGGAATTCCCCAGGAACAGCTAGAGTCTGTCACCAGGGAAAGGGAGGTCTGGACAACTCTACTCAACATGCTGCCGTCACGACCCTCACCAGGACAAGCGGATTGGGAATAATTTACTGCACAGTACTGTACTTTATTAAACATATATGTACATTATTATCATTTTCTATACACTCGTATAGTAATATAGTCGTATATAGTAATATATAGCAACACAGTAGTATATAGTAATATAGTAGTGTATAGTAGTAGTATACATACATTTTAAATACACTTGTATAGGCAAACCCCAACTTACGAGAATTCGTGCTTACGCGAGAGTACATGGAACCTAAACCCCGTCGTGTACTCTGAGACCTTACTGCACTGAATAATTATAGAAATTATGTTCTAAAATTATATGCACACTTAAAACTTTAGTGATGTTTTGTATTAACAGAGTCAGTTAAAATGTGGACAGATGTGGCAGAATGGAGATACCAGGAGACGGAACACTTTGAGATCACTTAGATTATATTGGCTGCTGGTATAAATGTCGAAATGATGATGGGCCACTTTGTTGAGCTATCATTGGTGATGGCCAGGTCGCTTCTGAAAAATAACTGAATACCTTGGTGGGCTTTTCCTTGTAGGATGGGGATGGTTTAGTTGTATTTGTTTGTATTTGTGTGATTTGTTTTCCTTTCTTGTATTTTGCACAACTATCGTGTTTGTGTAGTGTGTTTGTTGTTGTAATGTTCTGACCCCGTGTCTCTACTGGACATCATCGGATTCCTCATCCTGCAGTATAAATACAAAATTCCGATTCTGATTATTCTTTTCATCCCCAATTTGTGTGAGAAAATTTGGGACTATTATCCCTTTCCCATTCCGACAACGTACGTGTGGATCACCGGTCGCACCGCATCATCGAGCAGCGCTTCCAGACGCACTTCTGTGGCTGCCTGGAACGCTCTTCCGATTCGTTGACATACGCGTGTGTGTGTGTAGGTTATCGGAACCGAAACGGAAGTAAAACTAAAATAAAGTAACTCCATCGACACACCGCAGCTCCCACCAAAAGGCAACGCAGGATGGGCATGTGGCACAGTTTTGGTGCCCAGCTATCGTAGAGTGGCGGCGGTCGTGTCGCTACGGTTCTCTGCGGTGAGTAACGATGTCTTTTTCAAATCAACGGCGCTGTTGCTACTACGCCTCTCTCTCAATAAAATTAACGCTGAGCCACTTGCGCTGTTCTGAGATTTTTGCGGTGAACGTGACACCACCCACCCACCACCCTGCAACTTGCCAGACGTCACCGGAAACGGGAGAAGGGTTAATTGAGTCTGGGTGTCTGTGAGTCTTCAGGTCTCTGTGTGAGTCTTCGGGTCTCTGACTTCTACTTTATACAGCTGATGTTGATGAAAAACATCAGCTGTGATTTTACACTGAGGTGGTGGATGAGGCAGGTGATTGGAGTAGCGGAGTGGTGAATCATTGCTGTAATGATGATGTATGCATGTTGAACTTATTACGCACCATACGTAGCCAGCCGTGCTAATCGGAGGTGTGGCGAAAGGACAACAAACTAAACACAACCACAAACAGTTCTAAAGAAATGCGTTTGTCAATCTAGATGATGATTTAAATGTGCATAGCTCCCAGCGGCTTCCTAATAGCGGAAGAGCGTTCCAGACGGCCACCTTCATATCGTCGGTGCCAACGTTCATCGGCCGTGCAACAGCCCTTTGTCAATACGCACTGACAATACGTGGTGAAGTATGGTCAAACCCCCCCCCCCCACTCCGTAACTGACACATAGACGCATTTCCGCAGGTGAAAAATTTAACTCTCCGATTGAAATTAGGGATTTCGATCGGATAATTGGGATTTATTAGTAATAAATCGGCATTTTGCGACCTCCACTGCCACTGTGTAGCATATTATTATGTGCCAGGGACTCTTTGAGATGATATGACGATAGTCTGAGTCCATAATTGGCAATAAGTAACGGCAAAGCAGTTACAAGCGACTCACATAATTGTGCGCAGTTGCGTCTACAGAGTCCACGACTTCCCTGAAGGCATCAGCACCTTCAGCGAGCGCGGTGCCGATCACACAACGCGGTTTGAATTCGACCCTCGATCGATGGCTGAGTCATCGCCGCACACGCGTCGAATAAAAAGCAAGGGACAAGTTCTTACTTACTAACAACTCCTTACTAACAACTCCTTACTTACTAACTCCTTACTTACTAACAACTCCTTACTCACTAACAACTCCTTACTCACTAACAACTCCTTACTAACAACTCCTTACTCACTAACAACGCCTTACTCACTAACAACTCCTTACTAACAACTCCTTACTAACCACTCCTTACTTACTAACAACTCCTCTCTTACTAACAACTCCTTACTTACTAACTCCTTACTAACAACTCCTTACTCACTAACAACTCCTTACTCACTAACAACTCCTTACTTACTACCAACTCCTTACTTAGTAACAACTCCTTACTCACTAACAACTCCTCTATCATTTTTCAATGCTGGAGGGGTTTCCCCCCCCCTACCTGAAGATCCTGGCTCCGCCATTGACGTCGGGAGGCATCATCAACCAACTCCGCTACACCTGACGCCATCACGTGACTCATCCACCACGTCAGTGACGTATCCACCACGTCAGTGACGTCACAGCTGCTGCTGCTGCTCTTCGAGGGACGCACAGAGGAGACGTGACGACTTTTGTGAACTCACCCCGTGGCGGTGGTGTCTGTGTTTGTCTTCCCGTCTCTCCCCGTGTCTCTCCCCGTGTCTCAGTCTTTCTATCCCCGTGTCTCTCTCCCCGTGTCTGTCTCTCCCCGTGTCTGTCTCTCCCCGTGTCTCTGTCTCTCCCCGTGTCTCTCTCTCCCCGTGTCTCTGTCTCTCTCCCCGTGTTTCTGTCTCTCTCCCCGTGTCTCTGTCTCTCCCCGTGTCTCAGTCTCTCCCCGTGTCTCTGTCTCTCCCCGTGTCTCTGTCTCTCTCCCCGTGTCTCTCTTCCCGTGCCTCTGTCTCTCTCCCCGTGTCTCTCTCCCCGTGCCTCTGTCTCTCTCCCCGTGTCTCTCTCCCCGTGTCTCTCTTCCCGTGCCTCTGTCTCTCTCCCCGTGTCTCTCTCCCCGTGCCTCTGTCTCTCTCACTGTGTCTCTGTCTCTCTCCCCGTGTCTCTGTCTCTCCCCGTGTCTCTGTCTCTCCCCGTGTCTCTGTCTCTCTCCCCGTGTCTCTGTCTCTCTCCCCGTGTCTCTCTCCCCGTGCCTGTGTCTCTCTCCCTGTGTCTGTCTCCCCGTGTCTCTCTCCCCGTGTCTCTCTCAACGTGTCTCTCTCCCCGTGTCTCTCTCCCCGTGTCTCTCTCCCCGTGTCTCTCTCAACGTGTCTGCGTCTCCCCCCGTGTCTCTCTCCCCGTGCCTCTCTCTCCCCGTGTCTCTCTCCCCGTGCCTGTGTCTCTCTCCCCGTGTCTCTCTCCCCGTGTCTCTCTCAACGTGTCTCTGTGTCTCTCCCCGTGTCTCTGTCTCTCTCCCCGTGTCTCTCTCCCCGTGTCTCTGTCTCTCTCCCCGTGTCTCTCTCCCCGTGTCTCTCCCCCCGTATCTCTCTCCCCGTGTCTCTCTCCCCGTGTCTCTCCCCCCGTGTCTCCCACCACACAGACGATGTCTTGTCAGTGGCGGTCCTCATTCAGCGACTCCAGACGCAGGCGACAAGATGCGGGGCAATGCTCAGCCACACTGCACCAATCCTCTCAAGAGGTTGGGGGATTTGGGGGGGGTGGTTGAGATGACAACTGAACGACTCCCAATTTTATATTTGTGACCACGTAAGGCCCACTGAGCCGTACCCCAGGTAGTCTTCAAAATAACTATCTGATATTTATATTCTTAGCTCTTTCGGTAAAGTCACGTTGAAGGGAAACAATAAAATAATAAAATATATAAAACAAAAAAAAATTCACGACGTTTCGACCATAACGCAAACGGTCATCGTGATGACCACCTTTGTGCCAGCGCTGGCCACCAGATCCATAGCACCACCCATGCCCTTCACCATTTTACCCGGAATCATCCAGTTTGCCAGGTCACCGTACCGTGGTTACACCTGATGATGACCGTCTGCGTTATGGTCGAAACGTCGTGAGAATTTTTATTGTTTTATATATATTTTATTATTTTATTGTTTCCCTTCAACGTGACTTAACCAAAAGAGCTAAGAATATGAATTACTGCAGTCACGAAAGCTTTAAATCAAAATTTATCTGATATTTATACAGCGGAATACCTGTCGTTAACGTCTTATCAGTGCCCTACATTATTACAGACCAATTCAGACCTTATTGGTCACCCCCATGCCCTTATAGATCTCAACGTTCATCCTGCAAAGTCCCATCACATGGGAGAAACACAAACAAATAGACAACATTATTATTGTGCCCGCATTGAAACGGCTGTAATGCCGTATGGATCTGAAAACTCAATTTCCCTGGACAAGAATACGGGTAAGCTGTCTGGATTGACACGGTATGTAGTTAAATTTCGATTTAAAGCTTTCGTGACTGCAGGGATTCATCTTCTTGGTTCTTTCGGTAAAGTCACGTAGAATGGAAATAAAATAATAAAAATAAAACATAATAATTTAAAATGCTCACGACGTTTGGGCCACAACACAAGTAGCCTTCTTCAGGTGAAGGAACAGAACTGTCGGGACGACAGTGCTTCAATGAAGAGAACTGTCGGGATAACAGCGCTTCATTGAAGCGTTGTTATCCCGACAGTTCTGTTCCTTCACCTGAAGAAGGCTACTTGTGTTGTGGCCCAAACGTCGTGAGAATTTTATTTTATTATGTTTCATTTTTATTATTTTATTTCCATTCTGCGTGACTTTACAGGTATGTAGTTAGTGTATAGTAGTATAGTAGCAAACCTGTCAACCCCTTATCAGTGCCTACCTTATTACTACAGACCAATTCAGAACTTATTGTTCACTCCGTGCCGTTATAAATCTAAACATCCATCCCACAAAGTCCCATCACAAGGGAAAAAAACACAAACAAATAGACAAAACATGTTTTTGCCCGCATTGAAAACGGCTGTAATGCCGTATGGACCTGGGAATTCAATTTCCCTTTACAAGAATACGGGTAAGCCGTCTGGGTTAGCAAGGTATGATAGTGCCTTTATCCAAGGTGCTTTTACAAGGGGCTATGAGTGGTACAAAGACGGTAGCTAAAGGTGATGCGTTGAATAGGGGATGGGAGGTGTGGGGAGGGAGGTTTAGTGGGTACGGGAAATACGGTGGGTACCTAGCGATGGAGGGGAAGGATGGGGCCAGGAAGAAGACGTTGAGGGTCTTGGGGGCCGTCCATAAATGACGTCACGCACATGGGGGGGGGGGGGGTGTCAGACATTTGTGACGATGTGTGACGAAGGGGGGGGGGGGGTTTGAAAAATGTGACGTCGCATCATAATGCGCAACTTTAAATACATATAGACAACACGTTCTACTTAATTAAATAGACTTTGTAATAAATGTTTTCTCCTACAATATCAGAGTTCAGCGCCACATTAAATACGCACTGCAATGACAATAGTTTAAAGCGATTTGAAGCATGTGTTTTTTTTTTGGGGGGGGGGGGGGGGCAGAGCTTTGTGACGTCATATTTGAGGGGGGAGGTTTGATTTTTTGTGACGTCGTGTGACGAAGGGGGGGGGGGTCAAAAGTCGTCCAAAATAGCGTGATGTCATTTATGGACGGCCCCTTGAGGGAGGAGCGGAAGCGAAACAGCAAAGGCGCTGCTTGCTTCATGTGGAGGGGAGGTTTGTTCTCGTAGCAAGGGGGCAAGTAAGGAGAAGGAGCGGAAGTTGGATTGTGCACTAACATACCTGTCAACCCATACGGTTGGAGTGCTCTGGCACACGAGGGGGTGGGTGGCCAGCAGCAACCACGCCAGGCCCCCTTTGTCCCCCCAGTGGCGATGTTTACAACACACCGCACCAGGTACTCATTTGAGGCTGAGTCGACCTAGTGGAAGAGGCCAAGGACCGGGTTCGTAGTGCAACGCGCGAACCACGACGCTACCGCTCCCCACGTACACACACACACGTGTGTGTATACACCAAGACCCGCCATTCGCCACTAAGTGATAGTGTCGTCACCACGGCGCCTGTGCCAGGTCAGGTACACTTTGAGGCCACAAGTCCACTCAGCTCCACATCATCTTGTACCACATCCCTGATGCAGCCGATTAAAAGATAATGCCATTCGAATAATTTAGAGTGAGACCTCTGCTGTCAAACCGGAGCCGGTCATGAGCACACTGCCCAGGTATGGAAAACTCTCCACAACTGCCCCATCACCCATTGGGAGTTGTGGCGGTGGAGTGTCTGATGACACAAAATACGCAGGCAGGTGCTTAGTTTTGGTGGGGCTGATGGTACCTCTTAGTAGCACGCTCTAGATTCAGCGGCAGCACCTCCAACTCCTCTTGTGAGTGAACAGCAATCACCAGATCATCGGCATACAGAACATAGTTGACTAATAGGGAGCCATCCTTTGACCGCACCCGGGCATTGATCAGCCTTTCATTGTATCTGTACCAGATGGAAATTCCTCCGGTACAGCCATCGAAGTCTTCACAGATTACGTGGTCGAAATAGATGTTAAATCATGTGGGAGCCAGAGAACATCCCTGTCGCACCCCAAGGTGAACAGGGAATGGCTCCGACTCCCGGCTACGTAGTAGTACCCGGGCCTGCTCACCATCATGAAGGTCCTTAATTATTGTGAGCAGAGAATCAGGGAGTCCGAAAACACGAAGAACAACCCCGAGCCCAGGACTACTGATGGTATCATAGGCCTTGACCAGGTCAATAAAGCAGAGATGTAGGTTTTGTTGGAATCCCCTACACCTCTGCTGTAGCAGACGGACAGAGAATGTGGCATCTGTGCAGGACTGCCCTTTCCTGAAACCGCATTGGGGCTCCGCAAGCCTCTCTTTCATTCTCCGAGATAGGTGGCTGTAGACGGTTAGAGTGGACCTGTCGCTTTTTCTCAGCCAGCCGGAAAACCAATTTCAGCCAGGCTCACTGGGGAGGCTTGGACCATGTGCCCAAAGCAGCCATTGCAGCTGCGTGAGCCACAGTCCTAAACCTCGCCCATTTCACCTTCACATCAGGAGGAGTGGGGGATGATGCCAACCCCAGCTTAAAGTGATGATGAAATTCTTGCTTGCAACTTTCATCAGCTGAGACCAGGCCACTGTGGGTTTTAATGGGGTCCTGGATGTACACCCACCACCAGAGTGGAAGAATGGCAGGCAAATCTTACAGATGACAAGCCGGTAAGTGGGCAGATCAGCTCCACGGTAGGCCCTGGTGTCAAAGACATGGGCCCGCATCCACTGTTCCATCACTATATAGTCCAGCAGATGTTCTTGCTTGGACCCGGTGTGCATCCAAGATATTGTGTGGATGCACCGAGGCCGGAACACCTTATTGGTAATTACAAGCCCAAGGCCTGCACAAATGTCTAGCAGCCTCCTACCGTTATTGGGCTGATCTGGCCCATGCCTTCCAATCACTCCAGACCAGGTGCCAGCATCATGACCCACTCGGGCATTAAAGTCCCCCAGCAGAATAACTATATCCCGAGGGACCACTTTAGCTCGCACCTGTAACAGGAGCTCATAGACTGCATCTAACTCAGGAGTCGGGAACCTTTTTGACTAAGAGAGCCATGAAAGCAAAAAAATTGGAAATTTATTTCAGTGAGAGCCATATAATATATTTTAAAAGTGAATTCAACTAAATGTCAGTATAATAAGCCTCTGAATTTATTCTTTTAAATAATGTTGTTATAACACTCACCATTAATGCGACTTCTGGTGCTGCATGGATTTGCTGATGTCTTTGTAGTCGGGTTGGTACTTGGTGAGGTTAAGCTTCATGCAAGCGTTGAGGCTTTCATCCGTTAAACGTGATCGTAGGTTGGACTTGATGTTTTTAAGATGTGAGAATGACTGCTCACATGCATACGTAGATCCAAACATGGTCAATACAGCAATACTCACACGCTGCAGTGTGTGGTATGTGACAGGAAGCGCGTTCCAAGTTTTGAGAATCAGCTGGTCTTCGGGTTGGAGTTTTTTCATTTCTGTCCACATGTGCTTGCTCGCCAACTCCGCTTTCTGTCGTGTGATTCTTTCCAAATCTTCATTCAGTGACTTGAACTTATTCACCCACATGTCTGAGGCCTTCAGGTCAGCCACTTCTGCTTCAAAATCTCTGACGGAGACACCAGGGATGTAATTCAGGTCGGCTGTGTTCAGTGAACACTCGTTTGGATGGGTGATGAACTTAAAAAGACGAGTGTGCTCACGAAATTCTCCAAAGCGTGCTTTGAAGGACTGTAGGAGACTGGATGTGCAGCCAGCTAGCTGGTGGAGATCAAGGTTTTGAATGGGCTCACTTGCTGTGCATGCATCTTTAAATTGGCTCAGTTTTTCAAAATGTAGTAAACGACCTGTTTCAAGATCCGTGATGAAAAGCTCCAGCTTGTTTTCAAAAGCAAATACAGCTTGTTGAAGGGATAACACTGTATTTCCAATGCTTTGCATTTTCACGTTGAGCTGGTTCAGATGTTCAGTCAGATCTACGAGATAGTAAAACTTGAGGAGCCACTCGGTGTCGGCTAGCTCAGGATGCCCGACGCCTTTCATTTCAAGGAAAGTCCGGATTTCGTTCAGGCAAGCCGCAAAACGGCTAAGCACCTTCCCTCTTGACAACCAACGCACATTGCTGTGCAAAAGCAGACCAGGATAGTTATTTACAACTTCATCCAGCAGTGTTTTAAACTGGCGATCATTTAAGGCTCGGGCAACAATAAAGTTGATCACACGAATGACC